AGAGTCTATTTAGTTTTTTCTATGTTAATTGATAACTTATTCGACTTAAACCATTTTGAAATTTTAATTAGCTCAATGTTCATGTCATTAAAAAGTGTTATGATCTTATTACTAGACAGAAAAAATTTTGTGTCATCAGCAAACATTACTGTTTTTAAACTTGAGACATTACAAAAATTATAAATATAAATGAGAAAAAGAAGTGGTCTTAGTATAGACCCTTGGGGACACCACATATTAGATCTAGTAAATTTATAAGCTTTTTTCAAATACGAATAATGAACTCAATCACCAACTGGTTTAAGTGCAACAAGTTAACTTTAAACATTGACAAAACAAAGTGGATCCTATTCCACTCTCTTGCTAAAAAGCGTTTTTTACCATATAAATTGCCTAATCTTTTTATTGATAAAATTGAAATAAAAAAGGAGTCGGTCACAAGATTTTTAGGCATTTACATTGATGAAAATATTACATGGAAGTATCATATCGACTATATTTCTACTAAATTGGCTAAAAGTATTGGAATTCTATATAAGGTCAGATACTATCTAAGTAAACAAAATTTAATTCAACTCTACTACTCGTTTATTCATAGCTATATAAATTATGCAAATATTGTTTGGGGAAGTACTTCTAAAAGTAAGTTAGACGAAGTCTTTACCATCGTCAGAAACACGCAATGCGTTTAATATGTTTCGAAAATCGTTTTTCTCATTCAAATATTTTATTTAAAAACGTTAAAGCACTTAACGTTTACGAACTCAATGTCTATAATATTTTATGTTTTATGTTTCGTTGTAAAAGTGAACAACCATTGTCCAATTTCAAAGATCTTTTTACTTATAAAGCTATAAACAAATATGCTTTACGAAATGATAATTTATTAATTGAACCCTTTTGTCAAACAAAGTTTAATCAATTTTGCATAAACTATAGAGCACCGTATTTATGGAACAAAATTGTTGTTCCAAATTTTGATTTGTCAATTTCGTTTTCCGTTTTTAAAACTAAATTAAAAAACTATATTCTTTTTACTGGCAATATATATAAATATTTTTGAAATGTAAAATTCTTTTTTTTTTTACTCTGGATAATTTGTAAAATTATTTTCAGTTTTTGTTTCTTCTACATTGTTATTAGTTATTTGATCAATTGTATTTTATTATATATACACGTATTATATCTTTTATATGGTTCTGGCGACAAGATCATTTGGATCTTCTTTCAGATACCAAGTTTATATATTGTTATATTGTTATATTACGATTAATAATTGTAAACTGAAAAAAAATAAATAAATAAATAAATAAATTTCCTGGAGAGGATACATCAATTCGCACTTTTTATGACCTCTTTAATAGCTCTTAAGTAAATTTAGAAAATTACCACAAATTCTATAATTTTTGTTAACGTGCGAGCATCACTTATGATAACACATGGGTGGAAAAATTAACGCATACGCAGTAAAAGCTTAAAATGTTAACTGTTCGCATGTCAACAAGACCTGTATTTTGTCCATGAAGAAAATTAGATTTACTTGTAGAGATTTTTAATTGTCTCTGTTTCTTGTAAAAATTATTAATTTAATTGTTTTCTTTTTTTTTAAACGTAAAGAAATTGAGGTATTGCAGACAAATTTAGATTAGATCTCAAGCAAATTAGAATTAAAACTGTAAACACTCGACGGATAAAACAAAAGCTTTGGAAAATAACAGTTCCACTTATGGGAGTTGATGAATGCTAAGGGCACAACTTTTGTTTTTTGTATTAATGTTTAATAAATGTCACTAAAAATCTCAGCTGTTGTTAAATGATTGTAAAATAAACTACAAACACGAATACTAGGTTGCTTTTATGCTTTTAGCTGGTTATCTGGCGAAGGAAACCTGTCACCAAACAATTAAGTATCAATATTTAGTATCAGTAAATCTGTACCTTGTTTAATACACGTTATTTTAGCTTTTAAGTATAGTATAAACATTTTCTTAAAATATGGTAGCTAACTCTTTCTAATAAAATTTATGTGGGAAAACTATAACATGGTTTCTACTTGCGTAAGTTTAAACCCTGAAGTTTTATTGTTTGTAAGCTTTTTGTTGCCTTTAGTGTTTTTTTTATAATAAAGTGTTACATTTCAATAAAATAATAAAATAAACTTATTATAATTTAGCAATATGTCCAAAATATAAGCGATGAATATAGAAAAAAAAATTGTTTACGTAATCTCTATAAAATAATTACTTACAGATTTTCATATACAAAAAGACTTTAATTTATTTAAGGTTTAATTTTATTTAACGCAAATATTTATAAATCGTGTAACTTTTTCCGTAAGTATTAAAATCTCTTGTATCAGATTAGTCATCATTAATGTCTAGCAAATCTGTTGTGCTTTATTCTTAAGTAAAAAAGTTTTCGATTATTAAATGTATAATATACTAAGTACTGTTTCTTGAGGGCATTTTTTAAATAATAATCTTATTTTTAAATAAGCAGTTGTTCAAAGTGTTTGAGGGTATTTTTTTTAATACCGCAGAATGTAAAACTTGTTCACTGAATTAAAAGTTAAAAAAAAATTAAAACATCAAAATTAGTAAATAATACATAAATTTATTTTAAAATACAGTAAACTCCTGATAACTCAAACTTTCGAAGTGACTGCAAAATAATTTGATATTTGACACAATGTTTAAGATGCAAATACATACTATCGTGAAATATAACCTATAGCCATGGGATATAATCAGGGTTTATTAGTCGGCAAAATGGACTCTACAGTCGGTAAAATTGGATTTATTTTTGGCAGTCAGCAAATGTAGGAGAATGAGGACTTTTTTTTATTTTACTTTTTTTAGGTAAGTCAGTGGAAAAAATTTTTTTTGGCTTTTGTCGGCAAAAAACAGATACGCACCCCCTCCTTTAAAATCTCTTCGGGACGGCCCTGGATATAACCAAGCAATAGGTATGGTGAGTATAACCCATATATAAGGGTCAAACAGGTACACAATAAAGCTCCAGTTACTTGAAGTTTGAAATATCGGAGGTTTGTATTAACAAAAAAACTTAAGTTACAATAATGATATATGATAAGTAACCTTTTCTTCTTTAAAAATATTCATTTTAGAGGCATTGCTGTATATCAATTTGAAGGACCAATAAAAAATATCGGAGGATTCGTTTTCAAAAAATGTTTTTTATAATGCACTACCAAAGGCGAATAATGTCGAATCTTTTAAAAAGATTATTGCAAATTATTGAAATACTATTTAAGTTTTAAGCTTTGTAGTGCATTATTCTAATAATATAATACTATTTATACAACTATTGTTGTATGATCAGTATTGTAAAAAACAACACATTGACTTAATACGAGAAAAACAATACATGAGTTTTAAGTACAATTTTAAAAACATAATATTCAGGCATAATAAAAGTAGAAACATGAGATTTTATTTGCTGCGTGCACGCTCTACACTGTTACTGGAGATGTGAGCACTCGGTGCCTGTCCGCCCTATGTAATAATTGACTTTATAATGATCTTATGCTTATATTTTTTTTAAGTACATTTTTGAAATTAAAAATAACATCATAAAACTTTAATTTTAACCTGATTGATGGTTTAAAGTGTTTCCTCTTACAGTAACGTCACTAAAAAGGGTTTTCTTTGTCTACAGAAAAAAACTTTTGATTATTTCATAGAGAACTGTTGAAAAGTTTTACTGCACATGCAAATAATTTGAGCATTTTTTTGGCTATTTTTTTTTTTATTCTTTACGAATCTTCATTTTTTATTTTGTCCCATATTGTCTAGCTTTACGTGATATTTACGCAGATAAAGCACATGGACTGCAAAAGAGGTAGTTTTAAGCATACTATCATCGCGCTAATTTGTTTTCTGTTGACAACCACAAAATTAACGACTAGAAGATGTAGCTAGTCTGATGACATTTTGTAACGCACCTCTTATATGCTTAGCCTCGATGACACCTGACACTGTAAATATTCTGCACAAATTAATATGTTAACCTGACTTTTTCAACATCAATAAAAACAGGCACAAAAAAATTTTAAGTTTTTTATTTATTTAATCATTGTTATTATTTGCAAAATAAGTAATATTTCATAAATATGTAAAATAAATTTTTATTTAACATAAAAAAATCTGCTAGACTTTTTGTTTTATATAACACTAATTATTATTTGTTTAATTTAGATCCTGTTTTTAGTAAGCATTTTATAAATAATTTTTAGTTTTCAGTTAGCATTTTATATAAAATAAAGTTATTTTCACAATAATTGTAGTAGAACACAATAATAACTCCAGTTACATGAAGTTTGAGTTTGCCTTATCTTAATAACCGTAATTGCTATGATAATTAATGATAGGTTAGATAGTTTTTGATTTAAAACATATTTATTTTAGGGACAATGCTGTTGATAATACTTTTGAGGCTTAATAAAAAACATCCAGGGACTTGTTTTCAAAAAATGTTTTTTTTATAAAGCACCGCGTAAGGTCAGTTTTGTTTATTGAAACACTTTTTAATTTTTGAAATTGCGTTTTTCTAATTATATAGCACTATTTATAAAACCATAGTTTTATGATCAATATGGTAAGAAAAATCACATTGATTTCATACGAGAAAAATAATACATTATTGTATTATGAGATTTGTTATAGGCCTACAGGCTTACACAAAAAATAATACATACCTTATTCAATTGATTGGAAGATGTTTTTGCTCGACCCACAACAGATTGTCCATAAATTACGCAACGGAAAATTTCACGAGTAAGCAAAACAAAAAAGATCAAAAGCTTTTCCTTGCGCAGCTATAATAAAAATTAAAGCCTTATATAAAAAAATAAAAATAGTCCATTAAGCCTCATGAAAATTGCTGCGTGAAAAAGCTCAAGATCTCCTACTTTTGTTTTTTAAATATATTTTGTGTTGCGTAACTTATGATTGATCCCTAATTTGTTAAACTTCCGTTTGCGAAATCATTTGCTATAAATGCTAAAGGCATACAGAAAACCTAAGCTTTGAATTTAGATTTTTTAAATAAACAAATACTGTTAGCAAAATGTTTTTTAAGATTCTTGCTTTGTTGCTGTTAATGCAAGGTAAGAAAAATTTATTGCAGTTTATTGATTTATATTTGTTATATACTAGTTATTTTGTAACCTGTCAAATTGACTAATTTAACCCCACTTGCAACCGTAAATCTGTGACGTTTAAATTTTTATAAATAAATTATTTTTAAATTTTACAACACTGGCCCAGAAAAAAAAGTTCTATAGAATTTTCTATAAACTTTTGAAACATATGGTCTATAGAAGTTCTATAGAATTCTATTGAATATCTATAGAAGTTCTAAAAACTTTTATCACGTCTACGTTTTTTTTTTATAGTAAAAAAGTTTTACAGCAATTTCTATAGAAAATAATAGACATTCAATGGAAATTAATAAAAATTCTATTGAAATTCTATAGGCCATATGTTTCAAAAGTTTATAGAAAGTTCTTTAGAACTTTTTTCCTGGGGGCGCATCCTCATATATCAAAAAAAAGTTCGATACATAATCAGGGTTATACCTATAAAAAAATTCTCCATCTTATAAAAAATAACGAATGCGACTACTAAAAAAATAGCCTTATTTCCTAGACCTACCGAGGAATCCAAAGAGACATTTTTCTTCGGTTCCTTCCTTAAATATTCAATAAATTTATACAATAAGATAGTTAAGATAAAAATCGCTATACAATAAAAGAGTTATTACAAAATATACAGGTAGAAAAATAAAAACAACAACAACAAAAAAGAATGCGGAGACTCGCAGAAGACCTTCTGGTCTTATCATCAGACTCGCAGAAGACCTTCTGGTCTTATCATCAGGAAATGTTCGTAAATATTAAGTATATTAATAATATTAAATTAGCATGAAATATCAAATCAAAAAATAAAACAATGTATTAGTTAGTAATAATTAGCGAGAACGTCAATTTTATAAGAATTTATAAATAAAATTGAAATAAAGAAAATTTTGATACTTTTACATATAATACAAAAATATTTTAAAAAGTACTGTTTTTATGAACGCATAAGTTGTGGATCAGATATAATCTAATATATATTATTGAGGAACTTAATAGTGTTAGTAGTAGTAGTGCGCTTTCAAACCTGTTTGATACGGTACTTTTTGTAGCCATTGCAAGCATGGTAATGGCGAGAAAGAGTCGCAGCACTTTGTTTTATACAAAAACGTGAACGAATGCGTATCAAAATATCTAACATACGTAAACTTTAAATTAAGTAATGTTAAAATATATGTTAAAACATATTGAAACATTTATCAAGTTTTATAGTTTGATTTTAACTTTAAAATTGCATTGCATCATGCTCTCCTTAACTTTGATCTATAACATTACTTCCTTAATAAAATAAAAAAATCATTACATTGCACACTGGTGCAAAACCTCAAAAAATCGGCTAAAATTTAAAATTTTTAAAAACATTATAAAATTATTTTTTTATTTTTTTGAAATGAAGTATATTGCTTATATTATCTAAAAAAATATATAGGTTTGTTATTTATGTTTATTAACAGGACTGCTACACGTATTTAAAAGAAGTCAATTTTGTAATAAATTATCAATAAAAAGTTGCAGAAGTTTTAATTTCAATTTTTTTTTTTTTTAATTATTCATAAAATAATTTTTTTTTGTTTGTTAGTAAGTTAAAGTATCTTAACTTCTACGTCAAAAAATCTTCACTTAAAGTAAAAAAAAAACTTTCATAAATTACTATAAAAAATGCAAAAAAATACAACATTTTGCATTTTTTATAGTAATTTTTGAAAGTTGTCTTTTATAGTAATTTTTGAATTTTTATAGTAATTTTTGAAAGATGTCTTTTAAACGAACTCGCTTCATTTAAAAGACATCCTTCTCAAGCTAATCTAACTCAATCTTTATAAGGTTCAGTTTATAGTAATACCTCATAAAAAAATTCAGCTGCATATGTTCATGCATTATGATAAATTTTTAGCTACTAACACGCAACCTTTTTTTTACTCTAATATTCTTTATGTTTATAATTCATATAAAATAACTATAAATGCAAAAAATTTAAAAACTTTTATAAATACCAATAATTAAGTCATGTTGCTATATTAAAAAAATTTACTTTTTTGTTTTAAATGATTTCATACGTTCCTCCCAGTAAGCAGACACTTTTTGGCCCAACAGCGAACCAGGCTCGGCTGCCGTGCTGTACCAGGCCTTTTGATGCATTTGGCGATGTTTAACAACAATATTTTGAGTATTGTTAGAATCGCTTTATTTATTTCCATAGAAACGAATTTTCTATCTTAATCAGTTTATACAAAAAATTTAATATGAATAAGGTGCAATATGAATATGGTGCAAAGTCAAAATTAATATTTATGAATTTATATAAAAGTAACATTTATTAAAATAATTATTTACTTAAAATTACAATGTTAGTTAATTAATATTATTCATATTAGTACTCAGGCAAATCAACATCACTATTTATTAAGTCTATTATTCAAGCCTTGTAATAATCCACTAAAAAAAGCAGTTTTTTCTTCGTCTGCCTCTTCTTCCTTATCGATCTCTTCTTCTTCGCGTGCCCCTTCTTCCTTGTTGGTCTTTTTTTCTTTATCACTCTATTATTCTTCAACTTGCTTAGTTTCTCGACTTTTTTTTTTAATGTTTTAGCAGAAGCCGCTAATAGGAGCTTTTCAATATAAGTAGTTTTTGATAAATTAGACAAAGCTCGCCTTTTAGTACGATGCGCTTTTCCATCCCAGCATTTGTATTTTGGACCTTTATAAAAAAAATTTATTCGAAAAGATGTTTTTAAATCAATGACAAATAATTATAAGTATTTGTATTTATGTTTAATGACAGCATTTATAAATAAATGACTTTGTTTATAAATACTATTTGTTTATAAAAAATTATATTTTATTTATATAAAACACCTCTTGTTTTATTTGTTTGAGTTATTGAGAGGACCCGAAATATTGCTTTAAATAAATGAAGACATGTTTATTGCAGTAATAGTTTTGTTGATTAAAAAACCCTTCAGCCAATTGTATAAGCAATTTAAAAAATGGGGTTTGTAACGTTTGTATTTGATCATTTTACACTTGATTACAAGTTGGTTACATTAACCAACTTGCATTGAAAAGTTGATTTTCTAGTGAAGTTTTGAGTTAAGATCATAATGAGACTATTGTTTTTCTGTTAGTAAAATTTCGCATTTTTCAGCAATAACACTTCATGACGAATTGATATCTGTTTTTATATGTTCAAATATTTCTGAGCCAGTCAATTTTACTAACATTTCTAAAATTCGAATAGGCTAATAAAAACTCAGTTTTTTAGAGACAAAGTCTTAAAAAATCATTATTTGTATTTTTTTTGTAGTGGTTTTTAGGGAAGTGTACGAAATAAAACGTGTATATCTGGTTAGAACAAAAAATTCGTTTCTATTGAAATAAAAGCGATTCAAAAACAACCAAATGCGTCGGCTTTAAAATAGAAGAAAATCATAAAAGTTTTTTTACAAAACAAAACAAAAAATTTATACCAGAGAAGTAAATTTAACCAGGCAAAGTGACTTGCAAGAAGAAAAACTTAGTTGAAGAAGAATAGAGTGATAAAGAAAAAAAGACCAACAAGGAAGAAGGGGGAGGCGAAGAAGAAGAGATCGGTAAGGAAGAAGAGGCAGACGAAGAAGAAACTGTTTTTTTAGTGGATTATTACAAGGCTTGAATAATAGACTTAATAAGTAAAGATGTTGATTTGCCTGAGTACTATTATAAATAATATTAATTAACTAACATTGCAATTTTAAGTAAATTAATATTTTGATAATTGTTATTTTTATATAAATTCATAAATATTAATTTTGACTTTGCACCTTAATCTTATTCATTTTTTTTTTTTTTTTGTATAACTGATTAAGATAGAAAATTCGTTTCTATGGAAATAAATATAGCGATTCCGATAATACTTAAAAAATTGTTGTTAAACATCGCCAAATGCATCAAATGTACTCGACTTTAAAATTGTTATAAAAACTAAAAAACTTAATAATTTGAACTGAATTTTTTTAAGAGTGTCATAAACCATTTGTAGTATAGGAAAACAAAAAAAAAATGTTTCTACCCCTCGGGCCGTATAAATGCAATACATGAAAACATGCGTTTTTTCACGATAAAAATAAGAACGTATGAAATCATTTAAAACAAAATAGTAAATTTTTTTAACCTAGCAACATGACTTAATTATTAGTATTTATAAAAGTTTTTAAATTTTTTGCATTTATATTTATTTTATACGAATTATAAACATATAAAATATTAGAGCCAAAAAAAGGTTGCGTGTTAGTAGCCAAAAATTTATCATAATGCATGAATGTATGCAGCAGAATTTTTTTATGAGATATTACTATAACCTGAACTTTATAAAGATTGAGTAAGATTAGCTTGAGAAGGATGTCTTTTAAATGAACAGCGAGTTCAAAGTTACAAAAAGTTGTATTTTTTTGCATTTTTTATAGTAATTTTTCAAAGTTTTTTTTCACTTTATGTAAGTGAAGTTTTTTTGAAGTAGAAGTTAAAATATTTTAAACATACTAACAAAAAAAAAAATATTTAAAAAATATTTAAATAGTTAAAAAAAAATTGAAATTAAATCTTCTGCACTTTTTTTATGAAAATTATTACAAAAATTACCTCTTTTAAATCCGTGTAGCGGTCCTGTTAATATACATAATTAACAAACCTATTTTTATTATTTTTAGATAATATAAGCAGTAAACTTTATTTAAAAAAAATAAAAAAATAATTTTATAATGTTTTTAAAAATTTTGAATTATGGCAAATTTTTTGAGGTTTTGCACCACTGTCCATGATTTTCAAAATTTTTGCTTGAATATGTGTCAGTGTGGCCGAGTGAATAAGGCGCCGAGCTTCTGAACAAGTAAGCCGAGGTTCGATTCCTACCAAAGGCGTTTTTTTTTTATTTTTTTTTTGATTATTTAAAATAGAAAATAATTTTGAAGTTTTATAAAGATTATATACAAACATATTTAACAAAACGTTATTATACACTTTCACAAAACTTTTGTGAAAATGTATAATATTGCTACATAACATAAGCGCAACAAAGTTTAAAAAAAAAATTAATTTATATTAAAATTAAAAAATGATTTATATAGCGTGTTATATGATTTAATATAAACTAATATTTTTTAAACTTTGTTGCGCTTAATCATCTCGATATCAACAATGTATATATAAACATATATGCTATTTGTTTAAACATTGTTTATAAAAGGTAAAAAATCCACTTATATAACGTTTTATCAGGATCGTATGTAGTTTTAACTTTAAAGTAAACTTTTTTAATGATAACAAGTCTTTTTCGCTCAAGCTGCTTTGATTTTCTGTAGTTATGTTATTATATTTAATTTCTGTAGTTATGTTATTATATTTAATAAAATTGACAAGATTAAAAAAACACGAAACATATTGCCACTTCAGAGTGGAAAATTTGAAACTTCAACTTTAGACTTGGTCCTCTTTCGATACTTTCTGATTTCTAAAGTTATGTTATATGATTTTTTGTAAAAACTCTATCTATTATCGATATATGGAATACATTTTTATGGGATGTATTCTAAAAAAGACAAAAGGGGCCATTCATAAAGAACGGCCGGGTGGCGGGAGGGGTTCGAGATTAAAGGACATTAAGTAATAAATACCTCACTTTATAGATTTTTTATTTTAGTTTAATTAACAATCTAAATATGTGTTTTTAAGATAATGTATGAAAGTTTTTTTAATTTTATTTTTCAAAGGTGTAGCAGCAGATTGAAACTTCATTGCGAGATGAAATAGTTTTTTATGAGGTTTTTTGATGATTTTGAGATGAAATAGTTTTTTATTAGGTTACGAGCAACCTAAAATACACTATTTGGCTACTAAATTTTCTATTGCCATCAGAGGTCCTAAATTATGGAACACTTTATTAAATAACCAACTGAAAAATTGTTATTCAATTTCTCTATTTAAACAAAAACTCAAACAAAAATTTCTTAACGATGTTAATGAATTAAATTCTTTTTAAGATTCTTTTATCTTCTTTTTTAACTATCTTTTAAACTAGTCTAACCAATTTAAATTTTCTTTAATTATCCTATTAGCTTATCATTAGTTTTTAAGTGTGATTGCTTTTTTTGTTTTGTTTTTTTGTTTTGTTTTTTTGTTTTTTTTGTTTTTACAATTTTCTTTTGATTATAGATTAGTAACTGATCTTAACATATTTGTATATATTTGTATATAATTTTTAAATGGTACAAAGTAATTTTATGTTTTATGTTTACATTTTAATGGTTATACACGCTTGCTGATGAAAGCACGTCGGGATGTAGTGATAAGGCAAATATTTTCTTTTTTTAGCCCCGGTCATGTAGATTTTATTTATTTAACACGGCATTGTATTCTTTTTTTTTTTTAAATGACAAATAAAAAAATAAATTAATTAAAAAAAACTGTAGAGAATCTTTGATAGAGTCCAGAAAAGTCTGGTATTCCATCTCTCTTAAACGGTTCAGATTTTATAACCTCACTTTTAGACAAAGCTGAATACTTGTAGCATATATTGATCAGTTTCATCTTTTAATTCCACTAATCACTACATATGTGACATATTCATAAAAAACATGTTGATTTATTGCTTGACATTCGTATCACTCGGGCTTTCGTATCTAAAGTTTTTATCTTTTTTTTTTTTTAAAGTTTTTGGTTTTAAATCTGTTTAGGTATCGAACCATTTGGTTATTTATCAGCTGGCCCTGATACCGAATTTTTTAGTTCAAAAACCAATTTGAGTCGGCCAATCTCTAGAAGAGAAATTTCAAACCCAAAGGGTGAGTTCAAAATTCAAATTTTACCACTGTATATTTTTTTGTTTGTTGTCATAACTTAATCGTAATTTTGTGGATTTATATGTCATTGGCACGGAACTTAACATCAAGCAAAAGTACATTGAAATTTTTTTATTATATAAATGAATTTAGTAACATATAAAATTTCGTTGCATAAATTCAAACTTTGGATGCTAAAAACGTAAATATACAATTAGTAACAGTAAATAAAGCTTGTGGGTACAATGAAGTAAATATAGATAAATTTTGTTCTGAAAATATATCAGTACCAAGAGGTACTATATAATCGACATTGCTGTTAATTATATAACAAAAGAGTTTAACAAATAATGATCATCTTAAACTCCGGAAAAAGCATAGACATATATATCATAATAAAACATGTCATTGTACCACAATATAAATAAATGATAACACATTTGTATGTGTATATATATATTAAATTTAGATGATTGTAAACAATTTTAAATTTAGTATTTTAGTATTGTATATTACTGTTTTACCTGACACGAGCCATTGTCTCAGGGGAGGTGGGGGAGGTGTATTTATTTTTTTGCCAACTAGAAACACCAAAAAAAAAAAAATGTCCTCAATAATTGCAATTTGCCAACTATAGTTCAAAACATGCTCAACGTGCCAACTCAAATGCTAATATGACACCTTTGTGGGGGGGAGGGGACCAGGGACACCCTACACCCCCTCCTTAGGGACGGTCCTGGTCATCATTTCATTGAACTTGCGTATAATTTCATAAAGTATACAAATATATATATATATATGTATATATATATATATATATATATATATATATATATATATATATATATATATATATATATATATATATATATATATATATATATATCAGGGGCGGATCCAGCATTTTTTGGTGTTTGAGATAGCTAACTTCCAGACATGGAGCAAACTCCAAACATTTATATGTTTATACTTATATCAAATAAGGATGGTTTGCAAAAAATTGCAATGATTGGAGCCTGGGAACAAAAAACCCCCAAAATTTGAGACGTACCTGCCCCAAACGTGAGAGCAACAAGTTGATAAAATATTTTTTGTACTATTCTCAACAAGACTTATATTTATCTATAAACTTTAAATTTCATTGTAAAATATTTCAGCGTTCAAAAATTATGACCATGTAAAGTTTGAATCCCCCTCAATTCGAGGGGGTTACAATTTTTATATGGTCATAATTTTTGAGCGCTAAATTATTTTACAATGGAATTTAAAATTTATTGATAAATATAAGTTTTTTTGAGAATAGTACAAAAAATATTTTATCAACTTGTTGCTCTCACGTTTGGGGCAGGTACGTCTAAAATTTTTGGGCTTTTTTGTTCCCAGGCTCCAATCATTGCAATTTTTTGCAAACCGTCCTTATTTGGCATAAGTATAAACATATAAATGTTTGGAGTTAGCTACATGTCTGGAAGTTAGCTATCTCAAACACCAAAAAATGCTGGATCCACCCCTATATATATATATATAATATATATATATATATATATATATATATATATATATATATATATATATATATATATATATATATATATATATATATATATATATATATATATATATATATATATATATATATATATATATATATATATATATATATATATATATATATGTATTTATTTATACTTTTTATACAAATCCTTTTAATGTTTCAGATATCATAACTAATCGCTCTTTGTACAGACTCTCTGATAATGAAATATAAATCCTTAAAAATTGTTTACAATTTTATATTCCACTAAAATATCTTAAACGTACTGATATTTACTCACCTATATAGGTATGAACAAACACGTCAACCATGTACAAATGATACTTTCTGTTTAGTTACTACTTTCTATGTAATTTTTATTAACCTATTTATTCGTTACATCCTATTCGTTTTTTAGTAGGACTTGTTATTCTTAAAATAGATTTTGTTGTTTTTTTGTAATTAAAATTATAGCTTGTACATAAAAAATTACATTTTGTAATGGTATTTTAAAAATCACCTATATAGGTATTTAAACAAATTTAAAAATTTAATTTCAACATCAGATGACTTGTGAGTCGAAACATAATACAATTGATAAGTAAGTTGGTGCGTAACGACTTGCAACAATTTTAATAAACGCACACATTTTAAAAGTTTAAAAAGATATTCTTAACAATTCTTCGCACAATAGAAAAAATATTTGAATCGCTTATTTAAAAAATTGATACAATTTTTTTTTAATTTAAAAACTATTTTAATAAAAAATAAATACTTATATATTTAAAAATAAATATTTTATTAAAAAAAATCATTAGAAGTGATTTGTTACTTTATTTAAATGCGCTATTTTTAAATGTGTCAGTAAAATTCAAATTTATTTAATTCAAACGGTTTTTAAAAAAATTTGTCTTTTTTCTTCTCAACAAAAACTTGAATGATTCTTTTATAATGTTTATTATAGGGACCCTTGCTGTTTAAAGTCTTCGCCTATAAATTTTTTTTTGTTTTAACATTTTTTATTTTTACTTATAAAAACTCTTATATAGTTTAATAATACAAACAAAAAATTCAGAGCCGTCCCGAGGAGAGGGGCGTAGGGGGTGTTTAGCAACCATACGAATTTTATTAGTCGTCAAAATGGAGACTGTAGTCGGCAAAATTGGATATAAATTTGGCAGTCTACTAATGTCGGAAAACGAGGACCATTTTTTTTTTTTAGATAAGTCACTGGGCAAAAAGAATTTGTTAGGCTTTAGTCGGCAAACAGACAAGTCACCCCTTTAAAATCTGTTCGGTATGGCCTTGAAAAAATTATACAACTTTCAATTTCAAAAGCGTTTTGCTAATATAAAAAACGTTAGTAAAGATAAACATGTCGAAGTAAAATATTTTTAACATAATTAAAAACCGTGGTTAATTCATCAAATCAAAATATTATTTGCATAGTCATATAAAGACTTGAAATCACACGATTCCCTGGTCAAACCTGTAGACAATTATATATTTATAATTGTATATAAATATATATATATATATGTATATATATATATATATATATATATATATATATATATATATATATATATATATATTTATATATATATATATATATATATATATATATATATATATATATATATATATATATATATATATATATATATATATATATATATAAATATATAAAATCTATCATATATTATTGCCGAACTTAATAGAAGTGCGTTTTCGAGCCTATTTGACACGGTACCTTTGGGAGTCATTGCAACCGAGGTAATGACGAGAAAGAGTCGCAGCACTTTTTTTAAAAAAAACGTGAACGAACGCGTGTCCAAATATCTAACGTACGTAAACTTTAAATTAAATAATGTTAAAACATATGTTAAAATATACTGAAACATTTATCAAGTTTTACAGTTTGATTTTCACTTAAAAATTGCATTGGATCAGGCCCTGAATAATATTGATCTATAACATTTTTACCTCAAAAAAACCATTACATTGTTAATAAATCATTACATATTAAATAAATAAAAAAGTCCTGCTACTAAATATGGTGTTGTTGTGGAGACAAAAAAAAAAAAAAAAAAGCCCGTAGCTATAAAAAAATTCAAAACTTTTTTTTGACAATGAAAAGCTTTTTTTGCTACATTTATATTTTACTATAAATATATGCTTCAGCTGTTTTTTAAAAGGTTCTTGAAAAAAATTGCCCCGGAAAAAATCCTCTTGAAAAAAATCCCCCTAAACTAATCCTCCAAGAAAAAATTCCCCTGAGAAAAAATCTCCCTGGATAAAATCCTCCAAGAAAAAATCCCCCCGGAAAATATCCTAACCCTAATCCTAACCCCGACGAAATGCAAACTGGTAAAATGTAAACAGTTTTGCGAACCATCGTCGTATTGGTTGTTAATGATGTAATACTTTATTTATCATTTACCATTAAATAGTTAATTTAGCGGCATATTTTAAGGACTTTTAAGCGAAAAAATTATTAAAAAATAAATAAAAGGAATATAAGTGAAACTAGAGGAATACAATATGATGATGATGATGTTATGACGACTTTAGCTTTTTAAACGAAAAATACTCTGATTCTGTATATTTTGATAATAAAAATTTTAAAGTTGAACTTAAAACCACTATAAATAATTTTAAGGTAATACATATAAATATTAGAAGTTTACCTATAAATATAGACAATTTAAAATCTTTCTCCTTGAATGCAAATATACTTTCAATATGATCTGCCTTACAGAGACTTGGTGCTCCGACGAAACAGCAGAAAAAAACTCTGACTTCCAAATTCCAAACTATAAAATATTTTCTAAAGAAAGATTTGTTAACAAAAGAGGAGGAGGAATTGTGATTTATATACAAAATGATTTAAACACTAAGTTAAGAAATGATCTCTCAAACTCTGATGGAAATATTGAGGTCCTCACAATGGAAGTTACAAACGCGTCAAAAAACTTTCTAGTTTCTACGTGCTAAAGACCACCCTATGGTGATACCTATAAATTCTCAAACTATATGAAATATTTAATAAAAAAAAAATAGAGAACAGAAAAAATTGTTCATAATTGAAGATATAAACATAAATATCTTAAAGTACAACGAACATGCGGTTACTAAAAATTTCTTTGACGACATGTTACAGCTTAATATCTTCCCCATTATCAACAAACCCACCAGGATAACTTCCAAATCTATTACTGCCATTGATAATATATTAATAAACTCAATACAAGATACTTCTCTAAAATCAGGAATAATAAAAACAGACATCTCAGATCACTTTTCAATCTACTTTTCTTTCTCACTAGATCCCAGAAAAATTGATAATTCAAAAATCTTGTTTTATAAAAGAATTATCGATGAAACATCTACTCAAAAATTTTAGGACTTGCTATCGGCAACAAATTGACAAAAATTCTACCGATAATGTAACTCAGGAAACACAAAC